TCTTCAGTACAAATTAGTTTGGCCAAACAAACTCAAACAGATATGAAATGTTTTACAATCCCTGCATCTTATAATATTAAGTTAAACCCTAAACTTACTTTTTGGTGCAGAACCCAATTTAAGTCCATGTTTCTTCAAGTGATCTAAAACCGCTTTTCTATTTTCTTCTTTTCCCCAAAAGGTCATATGCAGAGGCATGGTAAAAGCATTGTTTGCACCAAAAGGAACTACCCTATTATATTTAGGAGAGGAAAAAAATGGGAAATTAGAAGTGTTATTTTTCACCCCCATTAAGACTCTGTTAAATATTCTACGGGTACCATTTAAATTTTGCATGGAAGTAAAATAAGAAGGAACTAGTTGGGCGGACTTAAAGGAGAGAAAAAGAATAAAGAATAAGAATTACCAACAATCAGAAGAAAAGGGTGATTTTTAGGAACAGAACGCAAGAAGAAACTGAGATGGAACAAAGCAGTTTTAAAATATAAGGATAGCGTGTAAACAAGATTGTAAGATAAGTAAAAAAAAAAGTAAGTTAAATAGAGAGGGTAGAGCTTTGCCTAACAAGAATCACTGAGAGTAATAATCCATTCGCTGGGAAAATGGGGAATAATTTTCAAGAACTATTTCTAATCCAGGATTCACTAAAAGTTTATTCCCAATATCTGAAAAACTTGATGAATTGAAAAAGGAGAAAACATAATGAGACAATACTGAGCATTTATTTTATCTTCCAAACTCACCTAGCATTAGGATATGAATATTATGAACATTGGGATTAGGATATGAAGATCCTAAACATTCCAAAAACTTAAATGGAGATCATGAACACAAATGCCTAAAAGAGAAAAGGCAACCGAGAGGAGACTGAGTTTGAAAAGAGAAAGGAAGAGGTGGTAGAACTGGGAGAGCATATGCCCTAGCTTCGGAGACAGCTACTACTCAGTTCCAGTCAACTGATGTCCTATGGAAATGAGGGTCCTCCATTGTCAGATCTTCCATTTGTTAAGAGAAAAATCTTAGTAAATAAATTTTATATTTAGGGAACCAAATTAATATGTATAAAATGTAGAATATCTAGATATTTCAATATTGGAATTAAATGAAAAATTTCTAAAACATTGTGAAGGCAAAATGAAACTCACCTACATCTCATCACTGACTACCAGTTTATAACCTCTGATTTAAACAAACACTTCCAAATTCCTAAACCTAGGCATCAAAAGGCTTAGAGAGATGGAGTGTATTTCCTAACATATGAATCAAAGTGTATTTTTCTCCATAGTAACAATTCAATAGGAAAATGAGGATAACTGTTTGATGGCTGAGGTAGTAGAGGCAGATTAGAGGAAAATCAGAACGTTTAAATTGAACACACATCAAAGGTAAAGTGATAAAAGTTGTCAATACACCTTTATAGGCACTAACAAGAAGGCCTAACAAATTCAAAGATGACTATAACTCACAATATTAAACTCTGAAAGTACATTACCCTTCAATTTGTGCCAACTTATTGTCCATGATATAGGCCAAAGCAGCTGCATGATCTTTCTTTAAATAGCCAACTTGATTTCCATTCACATTGTTTACTTTAATTGCATTTTTATCATAGGAGTTATTAGGCTCTCGTTGTAATGCCACCATTTCATTATTATTAACCTAATGAAATGATAAACACATAATAACATTATAAATAATGAACAGACAACAACTTTATCATATTTTATCTGGGATTTCCATTCATTTTTTTAATGTTACTGCTAAACACTGCATATAGAAATATATAGTTTATAATGATTTTCAATATTACTTTTCTAACCTATATTCACTAGGAAGTTAAATCTTTGAAATATAAAAAGTACAAATCTAAATTAGCAAATTCATAGTATCTAAAATTTTCAACATTGTAACTGCTGAAAAATAGCTAACCTTTACAGAGTACTTACTATGTGCTAAGCACAGTTCTAAGCACATTACATAGGCTGACTTTCTAAATCCTCACAACCCTATTGGGAGACACTACCATCATTCCCATTTTACAAATGAAGAAACTAAAGCACAGAAAAGTTAAGTAACTTGCCCAAGGTCACAAAGCTTATAGGTAGCAGAGCTAGGAACTGACTTGAGGCAGGCTGGTTCCTGACCCTGAATTTTCCAGAATATTAAAAATGGGGGTGGGGGAGGCATTTATAACTCATAATGGAACTGGAATAAGAAAAATATGTCCACCCTTCAACTCATGCCATTCTGTATGAGGCCAACATAATCAAAGATGGAAGAGTAAGAACTTCCAAAAATTCTCTCCTCAATAAAAGCAGTAAAAAAAATCAGCTAAGATAATCGTTATCAACTTTTTCAGAACTCTGGGAACTAAACAAAGGCTTGCAGAAATTTGGAGAGTGTTTATTCAAGAAAAAACAGCTGAGACCAGACATGGTGGTCATGCCTGTAATCCTAGAACTTTGGAAGGTGGAGGCAGGAGGACTGCTTGAGGCCAGGAATTTGAGACCAACCTGAGCAACATAGTGAGACTTCCACCTCTACAAAAAACAGAAAAATTAGCCAGGCATGGTGGTACACACCTGTAGTCCCACCTACTCTAGCGGCTGAACCAGGAAGATCGCCTGAGCCCAGAAGTTTGAGGTTGCAATGATCTATGAAGGCACCACTGCACCCTAGCCCTGGCAACAGAGGGAGACCAGAGAAAGAAAAGAAAGAAAAGAAAGAAAGATGGCTGAATATCAGTTAGCCTAGTCTCATCCCCAGCTTTCCAGCTACATACTAACTTTTAAAAATAATAGCCTGCTGGGATTCTAGATACAGCCTGGCAGTCACCAGAGAGAACAGAATGGAGTTACAGCTCTTTCAAAAATTAATTCCCAAAGAGCTGTCATTATCTGACCTGTCTGGAGGTTTCCTAGTAGACCCCACTTAAAAGACTGGCTATATTTACCTCTGAGCTCATCCAGTACAAAATCCTTCTCCCTTGGACAGGTGTTTGTCAAAAACAATTTTACTGGCAAGTATTTTAATTTCATAGCTGCCTAAGACAGTGAATAGCAGTTGGAGCAAACAACAGAATAACAAGGAAAAGCTGGGGAATGAGATGACATTAAGGGCTTTGCAAAACTCCAACATAATTCTGTACATCTAGAAGGCCATAAGCAAGCACAGTGCTATATGCATGACCAGGGTTGTGCACATTCTCAGGAAAGACTTGAGAAGGTCCTAACCTCTCACCTCTGGCTAAACTTGTAGCATTTAACTAGCAGAAAGTGAAAGTTAAAAGCAGTCAACTGCCTTAGAGTGCTGAAGGAATGCCCCAACACACAGAGACTCTCTGCAAAGACTGGGAGATTTATTTGTTCCAGTACAATCATTAGCTGACCACTGAGCTAACCAAGTATAGACTTCAGAGACCACACTATAAAGAACAGATTTTATAGAATTAATTCAGAAAAGCCACCAAGTAACAAACACTAATCACCAAAATCAGCCACAACACTGGGAAGAAAGGAGAATCTGATTTCCAGTTGCCACATTATTTAAAACATCCACTTTTCAAGAAAAAAGTACAAGGCATGAAAAGAAATAAGAAATTATGGTCTATAAACAGGGAAAAAAGCAATCAATATCAACAGTCCCTAAGAAAGCACAGATGTTAGACATATGAGAAAAAGAATTTAAGTCAGCTATTTTAAATATGTTCCAAGATCTAAAGCAAATCATTTCTTTAGACATGAGAATGCATGTCTAAAAATATGACAACAAAGTCTGACCAGGCCGGGCGCGGTGGCTCACGCCTGTAATCCTAGCTCTCCGGGAGGCCAAGGCAGGCGGATTGTTTGAGCTCAGGAGTTCGAAACCAGCCTGAGCAAGAGCGAGACTCCATCTCTACTAGAAATAGAAAGAAATTAATTGGACAACTAAAAAAAATACATAGAAAAAATTAGCCAGGCATGGTGGCGCATGCCTGTAGTCCCAGCTACTCGGGAGGCTGAGGCAGAAGGATCGCTTGAGCCCGGGAGTTTGAGGTTGCTGTGAGCTAGGATGATGCCACGGCACTCTAGCCCGGGCAACACAGTGAGACTCTGTCTCAAAAAAAAAAAAAAAAAAAAAAGAAGTCTCACCAAATTCTACAGCCAAAAAGTACAAAAACTAAAGTAAAAAATTCACTAGAGTGGCTCAATTGCAGATCTGAGCAGGCAGAAGAAAAAATTATCAAAGTTGAAGACAGAAAGAAAGAAATGAAAAAACATAAAACAGAGCCTCAGAGACCTGTAAACATCAAGCATACCAACACACACACACACATATACATGTACCAAAAGAGAGAAAGGGGCAGAAAAAATACTTAAGAAATTATGGTCAAAAACTTCCCAAATTTGATAAAAAACATTTTTCTACATATATAAGAAGCTTAACAAATTCCAAGTAAGATGAACTCAAAGAGATCCACACCTGGAAACATCATAATCAAACCATCAAAAGAATCTTGAAAGCACCAAGAGAGGAGCAATTCATCACATATAAGAGATCCTCAGTAAAAATAACATGTGATTTCTTATCAGAAACCATGGAGGCCAGAAGGTAGTAGGATAAGTTTTCCAAGAACTAGAAGAAAAAAACTAAGAATTTCATATATGACAAAACTACCCTTCAAAATGAAAGAGAAATTAAGACATTTCCAGGAAACAAAAACTGAAAAACTCCATCACTAGCAAATCCAATCTATAGGAAATACTAAAGAAAGTTCTTCAGGCTGAAATCAAAGGACATTAGACAATAGCTTGAATCCACATGAAGAAATTAAGAGCATAGGTAATGATAAGTAAATTGATTAGTAAATATAAGAGACAGCATAACTGTATTTTTGTTTGTAATTTTTTTCTCCTACCTGATTTAAAAGACCAGTGGATAAAACAGTAACTACAAATCTGTGTTGATGGGCACACAACATATATAAAGACATAATTTGTATAATAATAGCACAAAGAAAAGGGGTAGGATGGAGCTATCTAGGAGCCAAGTTTTGACCAACTACTGAAATTAAGTTGGCACTTATTCAAACTAGATTCTTATAAATTAAGATGTTAATTGCAATCCCTAAGGCAATCATAAGAAAATAAATCAAAGTATATAGTAAAAGAAACAAGGAAATTAAAATGGTGCACCAGAAAATACCCATTTAACACACAAGAAGACAGTATTGGAGGCCAGATCCAAAGGCCACATATTGTATGATTCCATTTCCATAAAATGTGACGAGCAGGCAAATCCATACAAACAGAAACCAGCCTGATTGGTGGTTGCCAGGGACTGGGGGGAGTGGGTACCAAGGAGTGACTACTAATGGGTAGGGGATTTCTTTCTGGAATGATGAAAAGGTTCTGCAACTAGATAGTAGGGAAGGTTGCATAACCTTGTGAATATTCTTAAAAACTATTCAACCGTATGCTTTAAAATGGTGAATTTTATGACATATGCATTATCTCAATTTTTTTAATTTTCTTAAAAGATATAGGAAAGTTGCTTCAAACCTCTCCTAACATCTGTCTACTGACTCAAGAGACTACAACCTGAACCAATCAGAATATCAGACAGATATTCCTCTCTAGCCCTTTGGAGATATTTCATGTGGCAAAGCTCTGTTCTCTCCCAGCCCACCACCCCTTGGCCACTGCCTTCAGCATGATCTTTTTAAACCAGGTTATGCAAATCCTAGAAAATATATAACCAAAAAAAACAGAGCAAAAAACTAACAATTTTTAAACATTTCATCTCAAATAAGATAATTACATAATTGTTATTTATTACAATAAAGTATCATTAATTAAAAGTAGATGATTGTCATTTATTACAAATGATAGCTAATTACTAGAATTTTAAATAGAATACATATGGGCCAAAATAATGGAGACTAACAAAAACAAAAAACATGGTCCAAGCAATAAGACAAAAAAAACATAAAAAACAAAAGGTCAATACAACAATATCAAAAAGACAGAATTAGAATCATAACAATATAGTCATGCCCTGTATAACATTTTGATAATGACAGAATGCATATACAGCGGTGGTCTCATAAGACTATAATGGAGCTGCCCTATACAGGTGTATCATTTTTTAACTTTTATACAGCCTTTTACTTTTAGATATGCTTAGATACACAAGCATATCTTATGTTTAGATATGCTTAGATACACAAATACTTATCACTGTGTTATAATTGCCTATAGTATTCAGTATAGTACCATGCTGTATAGATTTGTAGACTAGGAGCAACATGCCATACCATAGAGCCTAGGTGTGTAGAAAGCTATACCACCTAGATTTGTGTAAGTATACTCTATGATGTTCATAGAATGAAGAAATTGCCTAATGAGGCATTTCTAAGAAAGTATCCCCATCATTAAGTGACATATGACTGTATTTTTATTTTATTTTTAAATATTTTTAATTTCAGTATATTACGGAGGTATAAATGTTTAGATTATGTATATTGCCTTTGCCCCACCCGAGCATGACTGTACTTTAGAATAGAAAAAAATAAGCCACCTTATTGTAACATAAAGTCTTTGATGGAATGAAGTCTTTGATGGGTCAAGAAATAAAAAAGTTAACCATAACCTTATTGAAAACATACTTTAAAGAAAAAACAGAGTTAAAAATGAGCAATGCTACTATGTAACAAACCTTAGTATATGTAAGTATATGCAGTACTTATAAGAATATTTAAAAGATTTTATTATTAAACATAATTAGATTTTATTATTAAACACTATTAAAATTAAATGTTCAAAATCATGAATCCAAAAAATAGAACATTAATGAATTTAAGGAGACTAGAGTAACAGAATATAAAAGCGAAACTACTGAGTGAAGAAAAATAATCATAAAAAAATCCAAGAAAGGTTGTTTGAAAAGAAATAAGACAGATAAATCTCTATCAAGCCTAATTAATAAAAAGAATATAAGAACAGACACAAATATATTAACACAAAGAATGAAAACAAGAATATAACCATAAACACAGTTAAAAATTTTTAAGTATAAATAATTAATATGTACAACTCTTTGGGAATAAATTTGACAATCTAAATAAAATGGATGTTTTAAAAAATATATAAATAACCACAATTGACCAAAGTAGTACCAGAATTATGCTGAGTGAAAGAAGCCAGAATGAAAATTACTGTACCAAAATTACTGTATGATTCAATGTATACATAGTTCTAGAACAGGCAAAACTTATCTATAAGTGATAGAAATCACGTTGGGGGTTGCCTAGGGCAGGAACAGGGAGAATTGATTACAATAAGATACAAGAGAACTTTCAGGGTGATGGATACAATCTATATCTTGATTGGGGTGGTGATTATCAGATATCTATCTTTGTCAAAATTTTAGGGATCATACACTTAAAATATGTGCATTTTATCATATGTAAACCACATCTCAATAAAGTTGAAAAAAGTTAAAATAAGAAAATTATGCAAAGATAATATCTCAATTTATATTACAATATTTTTTCATAACAGTGATCAACTCTAAAATGTCTACCAATAAGGAAATTCTAAGTATGACACAGATTTGTATTGACATGAAAAGATATTTCTAATATTTTGCTAAGAGAAAAAAAGGTGATCACAATAGGTATAATATTATCTCATTTTTATTGATACATAATATGATTCTGATTTACATGCATATGTTCACAGAAAAAAGCATAGAAGATAAATAAGTTATGGTTCTGGATGGCAGACTTCAGGAAGATTTAATGCTTTTTAGCTATTTTAAAATAACAAACATTACTAATAAAATAAATACACATTTCGAAAAATAAAAATCTAAGTGATAACTACTTTTATCAGCACACATTTTTATTAGTTTACCAACGTCATAGAGACTGTTCTAAGATCAGTAACTCCCATGATCTAGTATTTCACAGTGGTATAAAATAATTTAGAAAAAAATGTTAATTTTTTTAAAAATCACACAAATCTTAAATAGAAAAGCTCAGAAATAGATATGAGACCTAGAGAACAGACAGATACAAAATAAGAACTGGCAGATCTCAGGAATCTATTGAAAAAACAGAATAAAAAGAAAAACCATTTCAAAATTAAAGACTAAAGTAGAAAGAAGAGTTAGCAAGAGTAGAAAGAAACAAGAGTTAACAGACCCTGTGAAAAATATGGTAAAAAAAAATGACAAAAAATATATGATGAAAAGGATTACAAAAGAAGTAACAGATATATAGACAGAGGAAATCTAATATAGAGGAAGATAAAATGGAGACTATGAAGAAAAAAAACAAGCTTTGGAACAAAGCAAACATTTAAAACTATAATTCCAGAAAACTGTCTAAAGTAGAAGAAAACAAATTTACAGAATGGTCAACACTTAAGATATACCACGGTCAAACTACTGGACTTTAGTCATATAGGCAAAAAAATTCCAATTCACTTAAGTGGGAGAGAAAAATCATATTGGCATGAGAATTCTACCAACATTTTATGGAACATTAGGCTATGGAGAAAAAATAGGAGACGAGAATTTTATATTCGGCCAAACTGTCCGTCAAGTATAAAATGTCACAATTACGAACATACAAAAACTTAGGATCATTGTTTCTTCCTAAGGAATCTCCCACTTAGATCACAAAACAATTTGAGATGCTTCAATATAAAGAAAATATGGGAGAAAGACTAGGCAAATCCAGAACATGGAACTCTTTCCCAAGGAATCTCCTAATGAGTATGCTTCAGACAACCAAAAAAAATGATCTGACAAGCTTCAACATAAGAAAAATATGGGGGCATGGAAGAACTAACAAATCCACATATTCCAAAAAACAACAGACCTGGTTTTTACAACAAACCAATAACATCAAACAAAGTGTTGAGGGGAAGGGCTTTATGTCCCATAATAACCAAAAATAAAGCATGAACTTTGTTTTGATCCTGATTTCAAAAAATCAACTATAAAGGCATGTTTAAAAAAAAAAAATCAAGAAAATCCATTTATGGATTAGTTATTAAACGCAATAAGGAATTATTATTAATTTTGTTAAGTATGAAAATGACATGTAAGGTAATGTCTGTATGTTTTTATAGATACATACTGAATCATATGAATGTAAAATAATAAATTTGGAATTTACTTTAGTTGACAAGAAAAAAGAAAGGATGAAGCAAATGTAGAAAAATTTGTTAACTGTTTAATCTGGACCATGAATATACAGAGGTTTATTGTACTATTCTCTCTAATGTATGTTTGAATTTTTTCATAATAAATAAAATTAGAGGTTTATCTAAATAACACAGAGGCACATTAGAATACCATGACAAAGACAACTACTAACCAGAGAAAGTTATATATATTCTCAAACTGTCTGTCTCTCTTTCACGCCCATACACACACAATGCAGAGAACAGAGAGATGCAGAACGATAGATACAGGAAGAAAAGGTGGAGAATCTTATTACAAAAAAAGAAGCCTAAAGATAGACAATTCCCTTACCTAGGAGGATCTTCCTAAATTAAAAATACTAAAGTGAAAAATGTGCTGAGGGGCAGAAGTAGAGAAAGCAATGGACTTGGAAGTCATCTCCAAAATTTACCATACAGTGTCTGTGCATTCTGGGCAACTCTTTTAATATTCCAGATTTTCAGTTCCTCAGTTACAGAAAGAGAATAGATGCCCTACTTACCTCAGAGCTATCGTAGGGATCAAATGACAGTGCAGGCAAAAGTGCTTTGCATATTGTAAGCATGAAGTAAATGTAAAGGAATATTAAAGTAGTCCAGGTATTTGTTATCTCTTGTCTACATATATTTTAATTACTTAAAGTAAAATAAATATTAACTGCACATATCACCTTCTAATTCTTATTTTCTAAGTTAATATCATAAATATAACTTAACTTAGTATCTATCTACTGTTATACTCACTACTCCTGTGTAATAGCGTAGTCCAAC